CGGGGCGGGGCGGGGCGGGGCGGCCGCGGAAATTGCTTGGTCTCACGCGGTCTGTGGCAGCCCGAGCTCCATGTGCCAAAGTGGCGACGCGAGTTTCTCGCAGATGAAAAGAAATTTCGTCAATGAAGCCAAGGGGAAAGCAGCTGCTCTAAAGGACCTGTCACACCAGCGCCACGACGGCCGACGCGGCAGCTCAGAAGGGCCATACAAACCATCTATCGCAATGCTAAGCTCAGCAGAGAACGGGTTTGTGTTCGGCGATGATTTGAAACGAATTAACACGTTCCCTGCGGATCAATTATGGGGCCTATGTTTGAACATGGAAGCGTGACCACCTAGTGGCCACGCTACAAGCAACGTGTTAATTGGATTGTTCAATGGAGTCTTGTTTTGTTTCCCATGCTGGTTATGTCGAACGCATTATATCGAAAGCATTGCGACGTGGGGATGTGGTTAACGATTTAGACGATTTATAACACTGCGCCCCGTGTGTTCAGCGCCAGACAAAAATATGTATATTCGCAACCAACAAGCGCGCCAAACGTGTGTTGTCCAATTTTTAACCCTGTCGGTATTGTTTGCTTGCAGGTCTAGCGCATCAGCTGGCCCTGGGCGGCGAGTGGGGCGCCTTCAGGGGCGGGCTGCCCCCGCACTACCTCCCGGGCTGCGGTCCGGCCGCTGGCCCCGGCCTGCACCACTTCCCGCACGTCCTGGCGCTGCCGCAGCACGCGCACGACGGCCAGGGTGAGTACGCTTACGCGCAGGCCATGTATTGTTACACAGAAAAATTAGGAGGAGGGGGTACAATTTTATAAATAAATAACTTCATTTTGAGGTGGACTATGAAAAATTTACGCATGGCGAGGCAAGGAGTTTTAGAATTTAAATTCACTTAAAAACAGTTTTCGTATGCTTGTCTGCACCATTGAGGTAAATCCACAACAGTAACTTTATTTCATCAAAGCACCAGGTGGTCGATTAACGACGCGCACTGTGCGAACAAGTTTGCCCATCGTCCGCGCCCCGACCACGGCGCCACACCGGCCGAGCGAGTAAGCAACCGGCCCGCACGTAGGAGTTCGGTGCACCATAAGAGCTATGCACGGGGTTAATCGGCCACCCGTACTCTTACTTTTCTTCAATCCGGTGTAAAAATTGTTTTTAGCTTTTGCCGAACTATACTTTTAGTTGTTTCCCGCTTACCCAGCCCTACCTTAGTATTCCCTTACAGGGACACATTTCAGGGAGCCATGGACAACGAAGCAACATGCTAAATGATGTTGTATCGCCATCGCCCGCAGGTTCGGAGAGTGGCGACCGGCCCGCGACGGACAGCCTCACCCCCGTGCCGATGCCACTGCCGCCGCACGGCGTGCACCCGCTGCACCCGCTGCAACACCACATCCACAACAACGGCGGCGCCAATAACAATCTCAACAACATTAACAACAATAACAATAATAACAACAACAATAATAATAACAACAACAATAACACGATCGACTCCAAGGACGG